CCCCCCTCATGTATATATAGGTGTGGGGGGAGGGGAGGCTGACTTGGGGGGGGGGGGTGTCTCCCTCCCTTGGTGCGATGGCCAAGGAGGGGGAGTCTTCTTCCAATTCCCCTTCCCCCCTTAGATTGTTGTCCAATCAGCCAAAGGGGGGCGCCTCCCCTAATGGGCTTTCTAGACCCATTAGTTGTCCTCTAATAGGCCTTTAGCCTATTAAGGCAGCCCATGGCGCTTAGATAAATTGCAGGGGGCTCCTAGTAATTCCCGGAGCCCTCTTATATTTATTTTAGGTCCTAGTATATTTTCCACCTATTTGTTGTTACACGGTTTTATCTGAGACCCTCCCGGTAACCATAAAACACTTTCAATTTTGAAACAATTCCTATTATTCCTGAAATTTTGGTAAAATTTTCTCATATTCCTAACTCCAATAGAACTCAACAAATCATAAACCCTTAAAGCGTGTGAGCCTTCATGTTCGATGAATTATAGAAATGAATGAAAACACCTTTCATTCAATGATCAATAGCGGAACCATGGAGATCCATATTGTTGGAAATATGACCTAGAGGCAATAATATTTTATTATTATATTTCCGTATTCATAATTAAGTGTTTATATTTCATGCTATAACTGCCATGACCCTCGAAATGTGATTCACTGGAAAACTCATATGCATGTGTGAAATGATAAACAAGTAAAATAAAGGTACATAGTCTTGCCTCTAAGACTAGCTCAAGTGTTGTTGGTGATCATATTTTTTGGATCTTAGAAATATCATTAAGTGCAACAATAGTCCTAAAACAGCATTGAGATTATGACGTTGGAAGAACAATCATATTGAATCGACCCAAACTTGTTTGTTGTGATTTGGACTAATATTGTTTGTATTCAATTGTAATAACATGGAGTGTGAACATGTGATCTTGCTCCTTAGACCATGAGAGTATCGTGGTCACTTCTTACCGTACGGTGGGCTTTGGGGTTGCTCAACGTCACTGTAACACATTGATCGTAAGGACAACTTACAGGTTCATAGAAAAGTTTAACAAGTGGCTCGATAACTCGAGAGTGGGATTGCTCCTCCGACGATGGAGAGATATTCTTAGGGCCCTCTCGGTGTGACAACAACGATCATCGTCTAGCCAGACACATGTGACTTTGATACATTTCCAACGTATATATATTTTCTGATTGTTCCATGCTATTATATTATCAATCTTGGATGTTTTATATGCATTATTATGCTATTTTATATCATTTTTGGGAATAACTTATTAACCCAGTGCCAAGTGCCGGTTGCTATTTTTTCCTTATTTTTGCCTTTACAGAAAATCAATACCAAATGGAGTCCTAATGGAACGAAACTTTTTGACAATTTTTCTTAGACCACAAGGCACCCAGGAAGGTTCGGGGGAGGCGAGAAGAGCCACGAGATGGCCACAAGCTCGAAGGGCGCGCCATAGGGAGGGGGGGGTGCCCCCCGAAGCTTGTGCCCCCCGTGGCACTTTCAACACTAATGTTTCTTCTATAAATGCCCAAATATTCCCTGTAGACTAGAGGGCACACCAAAAATACTTTTCCGCCGTCGCAAGTTCCAGAACCACAAGGTCCCATCTAGAGGCCTTTTACGGTACTCTGTCGGAGGGGGATTCAATCACGGAGGGCTTCTACATCAACCTTGCCGCCCTTCTAATGATGTGCGAGTAGTTTACCACAGACCTATGGGTCCATAGTTAGTAGCTAGATT